TGACTGGCGCATGTGCTGTAGCTGGGCTGGGCGTCCGGAGTAGAGGGTGGTTCGTGTCGTTGGGTGTGTTGGATGGAGGCGGGAAAAGGGCTGGAGAGGGCTGGTCTTACCCGGTGACGAGAACTGTTCCCACAGCCATTCTGGATGTTCTCGATAAGGCGATATCCGGTTGTGTCTTTTTCTCAAAACCGAAGTGATGCTGCTGCTGCTGCTGCTGTTGATGCCGTTGCCGCTGCTACCGCGAAGGAGGAAACCAAACAGACACACACACACACAAAAAAAAGAGTGACAAAGGGTGGAAAGAGGATGTTTTGTTAGGACCGGTTAAAGATAGAATTGTGGTTGGTAGAAGTGGTAAGCACCGACGGGAACGAGTGCGGCGGCAGGGCAGCGCATGCACTGGTTAATTAAGCTCGGGTCTTGGAGCCTGCAACGAGGGGTCTGTTGGTCCGGAATGGGCCCCCCTGCCCCTGGTTCTTCCTAGGCCTGTGATGGACCGTGATGGACCGGGATGGGTCCGGGCTGGGCGACTGCCTGCACTATCAAATCCTGGTGTAATCCTGCGATGGGATACGGGACGGGTCTGGTCATGAAATGACGATTGACGAATTTCGCTAAACCGTAGTTTGCCGTGGGGCGAACATGAAACAACAGGGAACCACGCAAGTAGGACAGTGTGGTGGTGCTTGTCGATGGCCCGGATGGGATGAGAGGAATTGAGATGAGACTGCCGTCTGAGGAGAGTTTGCCATCCCGTCCGTTGTCTGTTGCCCCCAGAAGTTACCCACGTTACCCTGCACAGCACCCTGCGACGGGTTGCGGGTTCTAGTACGGGTGCAGCCTTGGATGTTTTGTCGAATGTCGTGACATGCAACGGTAAGGTTTTGAAATTTGGGGTACCAGACCACGGCGACCCCATTCGCTTGAGAGACTTGTCCAGGGCAGGCTTCCCCTGCTGTGTTCTACACGTATTGTCGATTTGCATTCACGATTTCATCTTCTCAAGATGGATTATAGTTGCTGTTGTTATGCATGTGACAAAAAGTCAAGAATCCAAATCGGGCCTTTGGCTGACTATAGCCTAAATCCTTTTCCCCATTCTTTTTCAAAGTCTTGGAACAAACGTACCCTAGAGCCCAGGAAGCTAGAAGATTTCTGCACTCCGCACTTCGGATATCAGCTTCGGAAACTAGAAATGGGGTAGCAAGTAAACGACACACAGTGATATCAAATGATGGTCGACGGGAGCGCAAGCAACACATTCCAAGGTTTCCTGGTGGAACGTGCAATTTGGATCGTCTCTGCTGCGCCCGTTAGAGAACTTGGAGGTGTTGGAGAATGGAAACTTGGAGCGGCTGATTGAGCCCCAATTGCCCCGGGTTCATCCCATCTTCGATGTCGTAAGACCCGTGGTGGGAAGATTGCAGTGAGAAGAAACGGCGATCATACCGGAATAGAAAGGACAAGAGATTTCGGTCTACACGATCTGACAAGAACCAACACGACACAGCCTGGCTCCCCTGGACCATGGAACAAAGTCCCTGATTCCATCCTTGAGCCCCCCGAAGATGGGGAATTCAAGATAGACTCGATACGGCAACGGAAACTGCATATCTCTCGCTTAAGCGCATATCAGTTCGCTTACTCATCTAGCCATTCCTGGGCTATCCACTCCAACCGTCAAGCCTCCACCCGGACGCTATCATTTTCTTGGCGCCGCGCGACTGGGCTGAAGTGGGGACTTTGACATCAGTCGAGGAAGTTGCACTTGAAAGAGCACGGACCACAAGCCCGCGACAAGGCGAGATGAGTGATGCCCTTCAACAATTGCGGCAGGCAGTCCGTCGGCAGCTGCAGACCATTCACTGCAGCAGTGTTGAGCTTCCATCCATTGTCATTCAATCGCATCCCGTCTTCAATCTTTGCTTAGACTTTTCTATTGTGACGGCGTCAAAGAATAAATCAGCACATTCAACCAAGAGCAGTCTCGAATGGCTATTATAAAGGCACCTTTAAAAAGAGAGGCTCTCAATGGACAATGACTGCTAACAAAGGCAAGGAGGACAGCTACAGCTCACCATGAAAGACAGCTCGAGTCAACCCAAGATACATCCACAAAGAGACGAGGCCGTTTTCAGAACAAGACACCACCGACTTGTCTTGTCCGTTGGCGAATGGATGCATGCATTGTCAACAACCATCACGACCATCACTACCTACAGCAACTTAGAGACATTGCTGCAGCAGTCATCTACTGATTCACTTTCTACGCCGGGTCCCCCCTTCTCAGCATTTCTCTACTCTCATGCAGGACAAACCACCATTTTCAACCTGAAGACCTCGATGGAAAAAGTGAAGCAAAAGTCAATTGATCCCCAAATACAACGGCGTATCCACAATTTCTGTCAGAAAAAAGATCCCCAGCGCTAGAAGACTTCGGCTCACCCTCTTCTTTGATCGCTGCTACTGCAACCTAGCATCGCGCGCTATCAACCAACAACGGAACACTGCACATCATCGCCGAGGACCCGACCTCGTACCTGACTTCTCACCTAATTCAGCTTGGGAGGTTGGGCTACTTTTCGGGTCTCCCTCGCGTCGGATCTGCTGGCGCAATTGACCAACGATATCCAGTGATCACTTTGGGCATCCGTAGGGCTTTTCACTAGTTTCACCTTGATTGGAGGGTGCCACGTGTTACGCGCCTCGCAAATCGCAAAAAGTCCGGTTGCCATTCAGTCGCAGTCGGCGGCGCATATCTCATATCGCAACCACCCGAAGATCGACCTCCGATACAGACCTACCAGCGGCTTGTCTGGACTGGTGAGGACGACGCTCACCCAAGCAATCCGGACTGCAGCGGCAGCCTCACAAAAAGAAGCCAAAGAGCCATCTCCACGGCTCTGCAATACGGCCCAGCTTCTTCACACCCATCCATTTGTTGTCACTGGCAACTCGTCCTCAGATTATTTGGTCAGCATCTCAGACGTCTAGTCTGTCATTTAAAAGTGAGTTTGAATCGCCCCATCCACATGTTCCAAGCGTGGCTCCTTCTTTCCCCCGCCTTTAACCTTCAGTATTGTTGTACCCCCCTCTTCCTTTTGGCCTCTTGTCTTCCAGCTGCACAACTTTCTCGTCTATCTACTGTCCATTCCTGCATCATTTGTGTTAGAGGGAAAAGAATAGCCTCACTTGTTCTCATTTTGGATTCTGAAATGCCTTCTAACACCATGGATAGTTCATATTCCAACTACTGGTCTGTCGTTGATCACGTTTTTCACGACGTCAACAGTCGTCTCAAAAAGTCCACTGCAACCATGCCTCCCAAGCGGATAACGCGGCGGTCGGTATTGTCACCTTCGCCTTCCCTTTCCGATTTGGGCACCACACCAAAGCTCGGAAAGCGCGGCAATAAGGTTGCAGTCGAGCAAGTCAGGAATCAAACGCCCACCAGATTCAGTCTCAGCTATGGCTCCTCACTGGTAGCTCAGCCAGACAGGAACAAAACCGCCGCAGGTACTGATCTCGAAACCGCCTTCGCCGAGATTCACGAAACTGTCAGGACCGACAATATTAGGGCTGAGGCTCGCCGTCGAGAGCTTGATGCGCGTAGGGGTAGCACCACTCCCGGTCCCAGACGCCCTGACCCCATCGAGGAAGAAACCGAAGAGGAGGAAGAGGAGCAGGAGCCGGAAGAGAAGGAAGAACCCGACAACCAAGGTGACTATTATGACGACTACGACGAGGAAGAAGAGGAGCGATTAGAAATGCAGAGGGCAGAGGAGAGGGCACAGAAAGCAAGGGAGAAAGCGGAGAGGGACGCCGCGGAGAGAGAAAGAAAGCAAGTGGAGAAAGAGACGAAGGACAAAGAAGAGAGGGAGGAGGCAGAAAGAGCCACGAAGGAAAAGGCCGTGAAAGCAGCCAAAGCAAAGGCAGCACGTGAAGCCAAGGAACGAGCTGAACAAGAAGCCAAGAAAAGAGCACGCGACGAGGAGGATGAGGAACGGGCCGAGCTGGAACGGGCCGAGCGCGAAGACAAGAAAAGACGTGAGCGTACTGAAGAGGCGCAGCGTCAAGCGGACCAGAAGCATGCAGCAGAAATTGCGCGTAAGAAGGAAGAGCAACGTCAAGCTCGAGAGGCCATGCGACCACCCCTCCTACCTTCCAAACAACTGCTTTCGACACCACCCAAGTCGAGGACAAGGGAACTTGTGCCACCCGATACCGGCAACAGCTATGTCGAGGAAAGTGATGTCTACACCGACTCAGAAAAGAGGAGGGAAGAGTTAGAGGAAGAAAGGCGACTGGCTCAGCAACAGATGCGACTGGCTCGACTGGCTGCGCAGTATACACCAGAGCCTCCGGAACCACCCAGAATCGCAAGGCGGCCAGCGTCGACTCTCTCCCCCCGTTCTTTACAGTTTGCTCAAGATCTAGTAGATCAACAGCAAGAATTCCTCCACACAGAGACGGAACCCATGTCTGACAAACACTATCCGTCCTTTAGCAAGTCGCCCAAACCAGCAACAAGACCGAACCGAACATCCAGGCCGCTATCTGAACAGTCAAATACCACAAACGGGGAAACACCACCTCCTCCGTACACTACTGCTCCTACCTCCATGCAAAGATTACTGAGTGCGGTTCGCCGTTCGATATGGGTCATGTGGAAGCTGTTCACGTACCTTCTACCAGTGCTCCTCCTCACTCTGATTGTCTTGAGTGCGTCTTCGTATGGTTCGTCGGATTCGGATAGCGGCATCCGGTGGTATGGCTGGAAGCACTGGAGGAGCAACGTTGGGCAATTCATTCCCAACCATCCGCAATTGACAGATGATCAGTTCAACGACCTCAAGGATTACATCCTTGAACAGTCATCTTCCACCGAAAGTGCTGTTAAGAACATCCAGACTCTTCTCCCCCGGATGGTGCACGTCAAGCGCGGTCCAAATGGCGATCTCATCATTCAGGACGACTTCTGGCATGCTCTTCTGGATAAGATGCTCAAGGATAGCTCCGTTCTTACGCTAGACGGTGCAGGTGACATATCCGAAGAGCATTGGGACGCACTACGACCGCGCCTTGTCAAAGCCGGGCTTTTCGAAAAGGGACCATCGGACGAGCATATTATTCAGCTTGCCGAAGGTACCGTTTCCAAATCTTGGGAACGTTGGGTATCCAAGAACGGGGAGAAGGTCGCGCAGGTCGTCAAAGAGCATCTACCGGGAGACAAAGACAAAAGCGATGGGGTTACGCGTGACGCAGTCATTAGCAGAGATGAGTTTGCGCGGCTCCTCACGAAGAGGATTGCAGAACACAAGGAGGACATTGATGATAGACTGGCTGCCGTCAAGAAAGGGTTGGAGACACTCATCGACACCACGGTCAAGGCGGCCATTTCCAACTCTGAAGGCGGTCTCTCCAAGTCCGACATCACCAACCTCGTCAAAAACATCGTACAGAAGGAAATCCCTCGAGCGCACCTCGAAGCTGCCGCTAAGGACGGCATCATGCGCAACTACCACGACTACATCGAAACCCAGGTCAACCATTTCGGCCTGGGCAATGAAGCTGGTATCGTTTTATCGGAATCATCCCCTGTCTACACACACGAGTCCCAAACCCTTCCGGGCAACAAGCATCTGAGCAAGTTGTTCGGTAAGGCAAAGCCCATCTCAGGCAAAGACCAATTCGGCCTGGAGGCGGAGTACATGATGGCACTCTCTGCCTGGAATGACGTTGGCCAGTGCTGGTGCGCCGGCATCACAGCTAGCAGAGGCGCCGAGCTCGCCGTGGAGATGGCCAACCTTGTCATTCCGCAAGCCATCGTCGTCGAGCACGTCCACCCGAACGCGACGAATTATCCCGGGGCCATGCCTAAGGACATCGAAATCTGGGGGTACTACCCGGAAGCGGATGACAACAAGCGTCTCCTGGCTTGGATGGACGAACTGTATCCAGGAGAGCGCGAAGCTGACTTGAAGAGGATCGACGAGGACAAGAAGTCACTGTCCTTGATCAACAAGAAGTACGTCAAGATCGGAGAGCTCGAGTACGACTATGCAAAGACCAGCGGTAGCCACGGCATGTTTGTCTACAAGCTGTCGGAGGAACTGCTCGATCTGGATGCGGCGACGTACAAGGTGTTGGTCAGAGCCAAGACCAACCACGGGGCGCAGGATCATACTTGCTTCTACCGGCTGCAATTGTTTGGTGAGGAAGTGGAGTTTGAGTATGAGAAGTAAACAGGATTGTTTATGGCTATGTAGATGAGGGGTCTTGAGCAGTCGATTATATATGTGAGGGAAAGTATGGGAACTGGGAATGGGGCAAGGCGTTTGGTCTTTCTTTATCGCTTTTAACTTTGAGGTTCTTTTTGGGCGGTCGGTTAGTTTCACTGTGGGTTCTTAAGGGATGAACCGTATGAGCGAGCGATACCCGTCTTTGTGCTCAATTTTCAAAGTTCAATTTAAGGTGTTGTCATGATATTTGGCTTTTTTCATTGCTCAGGCGTGGGGTTGATGGTCGAATGATTGCTGTAATTCATCTAGATAACACATGTGACTTGCTGAAGTAGTGGGTGCTCAAGCCACCTAGCATCTGAATCTCATTTCCAAAGCTCCTCGAAATGCCTTGCTACATCTTTGGGGAAAAGGACATCCAGTTGCACAAATCAGAACATGGAAGTGGGAGTTGCCGACCCGTACTGTCTTCGTCCGCTCGTATAACCCTAACCCTGGAAGGAGCCGCGCTTCCCAGATCCCTGCTGCAGATCCCCTTGTTTACAGTGGATGAGGTGGGTCATGCTGGCAGAATTCCTCTCCGCCAAAAGTTTTCCCATGGCATCGAACTGAACAGCACAGGCGACAACCCGCAGACAATTGCATTCGCTCGACCAGCAGACCCGACCTTTAGAACCCCGTTTAACCCATCACGCCAAATCCTTAGGACAGTCCAACAACACGACCACCATGGCTCCAGGAGGCCCCAAAGGCCGCGCTGGCAAGGGCAAGGCCGCCGCTGAGAAGGAGAAGCCCAAAGCCAACAAGGCCGAACTGAAGACGTTGAAGAGGAAACGAGACTTGGAGAACCTCGAGACACTCCAAAATAGGATTGACGAACTTGTATGTCCTAATGACCGCTTCGTCCGCTATACGATGGCACACCGTTCTGACTCTCTTGCTTTTGACCTACTAGGACCCCAAATCCGCCGACATCAAGAACTTCACCGATCTTCCCCTTTGCGAACCGACCGCCTCCGGACTGCGCGCATCCCATTTCGAGATCATGACCGATGTCCAAAAAGCCGCCATTCCCCTTGCGCTGAAGGGACAAGACATTCTCGGCGCTGCTAGAACGGGTAGCGGCAAGACCCTCGCCTTCCTTGTTCCAGTTCTCGAGAAGCTTTACCGTGCACGATGGACCGAGCTCGATGGCCTCGGTGCTCTTATCATCAGCCCGACCCGTGAATTGGCCGTCCAAATATTTGAAGTGTTGAGGAAAATTGGTCGCAACCACAGCTTTTCGGCAGGCTTGGTCATTGGAGGAAAGAGCTTGAAGGAAGAGGCGGAACGTCTTAGTCGCATGAATATCCTCGTTTGCACACCCGGTCGTATGCTGCAACATCTCGACCAAACGGCCGGTTTTGATGTCGACAACCTCCAGATCCTCGTTCTCGATGAGGCCGATCGCATCATGGATATGGGTTTCCAGCAGGCCGTTGACGCTCTCGTTGAGCATCTTCCCAAGAGCAGACAAACCCTCCTGTTCAGCGCAACACAAAGTAAGCGTGTCTCGGATCTCGCCCGGTTGAGTTTGAAGGACCCCGAATACGTCTCCGTCCACGAAGCCGCGGCATCGGCGACTCCCGTCAACCTCCAGCAGCATTACATCGTCACACCTCTCCCCGAGAAGCTCGACACACTATGGGGCTTCCTACGAACGAACCTCAAGAGCAAGATCATTGTTTTCCTGTCCTCCGGCAAGCAGGTGAGATTCGTATACGAAAGTTTCAAGAGGATGCAGCCCGGTATTCCACTACTACATCTGCACGGTCGCCAAAAACAAATAGCACGTCTCGAGATCACGAACCGGTTTACGTCCGCGAAATACTCCTGCCTCTTCGCCACCGACGTCGTCGCCAGAGGTGTTGATTTCCCCGCCGTCGACTGGGTCATCCAGGCCGATTGCCCCGAAGATGCCGACACCTACATCCACCGCGTCGGCAGAACGGCGCGTTACGAGAGCAAGGGTCGCGCCGTCTTGTTCCTCGACCCCAGCGAAGAGGAGGGTTTCATCAAGCGTCTCGAGCAGAAGAAGGTGCACGTCGCGAAGGTGCACGTCAAGGAGAACAAGAAGAAGAGCATCAAGCACGAGCTGCAATCGCAGAATTTCCAGTCCCCCGATCTCAAATACCTCGGTCAAAAGGCGTTCGTCTCGTATGTCCGCTCGATTTACCTCCAAAAGGACAAGGAGGTGTTCAAGTTCGATAAGCTCGACCTCGACGGTTTCGCTTCCAGCTTGGGTCTCCCGGGTACTCCCCAGATCAGGTACCAGAAGGGCGAGGACATCAAGAAGCTCAAGAACGCCTCGCGCGCCGCCATGTCCAGCGGTTCCGACACCGAGGGCTCGGACGGCGAGATCCGCAAGAAGAAGAAGGAGGTCAGGACAAAGTACGACAAGATGGCCGAGCGTCAAAACCAGGACGTGCTGTCGTCGCATTACCGCAAGCTGCTCGGCGAAGATCAAACCGAAGACAACGAAGAAGACGACTTCCTGTCTGTCAAGCGCGTGCTGGACGACGACGCCGCGCTCGACGACGCCGCCGGCAACGCCATATCCGGTACCAACGCCGATGGCACGGCCAAGGTGGTCAAGCTGGGCAAGAACGCGGAGCTGGTCATCGACTCGCACCGCCGCGAGAAGCTGCTCAAGTCCAAGAAGAAGCTGCTCAAGTACATGGAGAAGGGCCAGAAGCTCGTGTTCGACGACGAAGGCAACGCCCACCCCATCTACCAGCTGCAGGACGAGGAGGACTTCCAGAATGAGGGCGACGCCAAGGAGCTCAGGCAGAAGTTCGTCGAGGCCGAGACCAGCAAGGTCAAGGAGCAGGATGTCGAAGATAAGCTGCTCGCCAAGCAGCGGAGGAAGGAGAAGAGGGAGCGCGCCAAGGCGCGCGAGAGGGGCGAGGAGGTCAGTAACCCCAAGGGTCCCCTGCAGCCGGCGCTCCTGGATACGCACAGCGATGTGGATGAGGATCCTTTGGCTTTGCTCAGGAGTTTGCCTGTTGCTGGCCAGGGCGGAAACGACAGTGATAGCGACGAAGGTAACAGGGAACCGCCTAAGAAGAAGGCGAAGAAGTGGTTCCAGAAGGATGACTCGGATACAGAGTACAGCGATGATGGCAGGCCGAGGAGGAAGAAGGCCAAGATGGAGGGCGGCAGGAAGGTTATTGAGATGGATCATGAGCCGGATAATTTGCAGGATTTGGAGGCTTTGGCTGCTGGCTTGTTGGAGGATTGATCGTGAATTTGAGTTGGTTTATCATCATCGTTTGTGGTGTTTAAAATATTTTGTTCTTTCGTCCGATCACGGATGGTTACATATGCATTTTGCAGATAGTTTTAGAGTTGTTATGATACCTGAATCACGTATTTTGACAAAAACGGCACCTTGTCCCTTGTCGAGACCTCAGGGTTTCTGTGCAAGGCTGAACTATTCCACCGAGTTTCAAGCAGGAAGCTTCGACCTTGCATGAGGCAAGATGGAATCTTGAAGCATGCCGTTCGCTCCTTCCAGCACAGAACAGCGCCCCACACACTCGAACCCGGACGTTCACGGCTGCATCCTTCCGTTTTTGGCCTTCGTCAGTCATCTCCCTCTGATGTGACCGAGTACCAGGAAGTTGCGGGGTCAAAGTTGACATTCCCATCATCTACCTACAACTGAGAGTTACTTCTTCCTGGCCGTCCTCGGTTTGCTTTTTCGACAGTTCGAAACATGGCATTCACCCTTTCCAATGCTTCCAGCTGTCTCTTTTTTTTTCTTCTTCTTTTTTTTTTTCTTTTTTTTTTTTTTATTTTTTTTTTCTGTTTGCGACTCGGCGACTCGCATGGGAACTCAGTCTTTACCCCACTCAACGCTCCTTGAAACCTGCTTCTTCCTCCAACTCGTTGCCGCTGTCACCGACGCAATCCATTTGCGAAGAACCAACGCCCATCGGCTCATGCCTCGTTCAATGCCGTCTCGCTGCAGGTATCAATGTCTGAGGCCCCGTGACGGGATGCAAGTACCCGCATTTGAGCTCTCCCGTAAGGTGTGAGATCCCGCTCCTGTTTGCGATCTGTATTTACATATGTACACACCCAACGGTGGAGGAGGTGTGGTGGTCTGTGAACCGGCCGGCAATTGTTGGTTATTGCGGTTAACAGATGTTCGAGCAGACTAGGTAGGCTAGCATAATCTCCGACACGAATATTATACAGCTTCATCTTGCTTGTGGATGCCCCTCTGTCAGTCTTCTGCACCCTAGCAGCTTCTAGATTGCCGGCCTTTGTGTCCAACTTTTTCCTTGTTAACGAGGACCATATAATGCAGCTGGCGTGCTGCATTTCCGGGGCCTAGCATCCTTTCAACGCATGGCACTTCTTCATGCTTCAACTCAGCAGCTGAATTGAACCAAGTCAAGTTCTATAGTGGCTGCAAATCTCTGGTACGTCCTCATCAAGATATCAAGAAAACTCGTTGGAATTCCGTTCCTTCGTCCATCCACTGGCACTCGCTGCCAGTATTCCAGACCGGCTTGATTTCCGTTTGTACTCTTTTGTTACCACTTCAAAATCAAGCCCTCTCTCTGTCGTCGCCTCTGTACGTTCATCAAGGCCAGGTGCAGATCGAAACATTCAGCAGGCATTCCACGCGGGGTTTGAGCGAGTCTCCAGCCGTCTGCCTGTTTGTACTGCTCGTTGGCACTTGCATACTGCGTCTTATACCTCTACGCCATCAAATCCTATTGGGTAAGATACTTGACGACAGCGTTACCAGTTAACTCCTTTGCCTTCCCGTGTACTCGTGCTTATAAGATGTCGTTGCACCACGACGTGTGCCCCTTTGGGCCCATGACCTCGGTTTTATTATCAAGAAGCCTGCGGGGAGACGAACACGTTCATCACAGCCCCAGGTGGCATAACATCATTTCTTACTTCTTCCCCTCCTTGCGATCTACCATGGCTACTCACACCATCAAGGCACGAGCGCAAACCCAAAAGTTAGCCTCTCACAAGACTGAGGTCATCCAGATCGAGTGTCTTGTCTGCACCGAGACGAAAGACATAGTTCATTTTCCTTTATCCAAGCTCTCCACTGACTGTCAACACGCCATGCACGTTTGCGTCCAATGTGTCCGCCTGAGCATCGCGGCGGACCTCCAAAATAAGCACTGGCAGGACATCAGTTGCCCGGCTTGCAAGAGTCGCCTCGATGCGGCTGCTATCGAACGTTACGCCAGCCCTGGGACACGGGCAAAGTATGAGACTCTTTTGACCAGACACATGTTGGAAAGTCAGGAAGGCTTTAGATGGGCAAGTTGATAATCCCCATTCGCCCCGAACTCTGTGCCAATGCATGGCTGACAGTTCGGTTCTCAAACAGTGCACGGAGCCAGGTTGCGACAGCGGCCATATTCACGAGGGCGGAAGAGATCAGCCCATCATGAAATGTCTCAAGGGACACTTGTCATGCTACGTCCACGAAGTGCCATGGCACAGTGGTATGAGCTGCGACAAATTCGACATAGTGAGGATGGACCCGGACACCCCCGCTTATCAGCAGCATCTTCGAAAGGAAGAGGAGGACAGACAAAGTGAGAAGATAATATCACTTACGTCAAAGCCTTGCCCTTCGTGTGGGCGAAATATCGAGAAAAATGGCGGATGGCAAGTTTACGTCCGTAGCTTCTTGCATCTGTTATAGAACGGGTGGCTAACGTCCATCGTTCACAGCGCGCACATGACATGTAAGACATCATTTTCAATCTCTTTACACGTTCTTCACATGTCCATTTTCGAGATTACCCGGCCGCTCTACAACCTGCAATCCTTTTCCCACTCACATCCGCATTATATGCTACCATTGGAAACACAAGTGCTCTTCCTTATGTTTCTGACAATGTTCATCACGGTCTTCAATAGCCTCTCTAAAATAAGACCCTAGGATTGACTTCTGATGTTCGTCCAGGCTTCCTTTGTCGCTACGAGTTTTGCTGGGATTGCCGCAACGCTTGGCACCGGAGTGGACCTTGTCCACGCCGGTAGCAATCCCACCGCGAACGCCTTGTTGCTGGTCTTTTTCTTTGCACAGCGTCACATTCAATTTGAGTCCCTTTCTTCTGTTTCGCCCTATCGATTCACCAGATTTTCCGGGGCAAACGCCATAACAAATAACTTCAAGTTCTGTGCTAAAAAAATATCGTGCTGTATTCAATAGGCGTCAAGTGCTCATACCAGTTTTGCTGGGAATGCATGGCAGACTTCAAGGAGATCTTGAGGACTAGCAATGATGCTCACCGAGAGGATTGCAGGTTCCACACGAATAATCTGCCGGAAGACTAATCCAGGGTCTGAGTGGCTAGTTATCTTGAGTCCACTACCGAGGTTGGGGGTCAGGAACGGAATGTGGGTTTGGTTAAGCATGATGTGGCTTGATACTTTTTCGTTGGCCAGTCTTGTAGCGTGTGATTGAACATTGTACGGTGACCCTCTCAGGGAGCGACACGGAGGATCCAGCAGCGACCTTTTGGACCCTGGTGTATTTATTATGTTGGTGATATGTATGGCACCATTTAACTAGGACATCAGGGTAGAAGAAGGCAATCATTACCAATAGCTTAATGGTTTTCAATTTTGCATGACGTTGCCTTTCTCCTACTCTCTCTCTCCCTCTCTTCTCTTTCGTCGTCTTGATCCGGTGTTCCTGTCTCTTGATCTATTTCACACGTGAACAGGATCATGTCATACGTCCAATTCACACGGGATGAAACCAGATGGGTAAGTTTGTTGACATTTGAGTTGGGGGTGATAAGGTTTAGGGGACCGTCAAAGGGGGCGCTGAATGGAGTATAGTAGGAGGCACTTACACGTACATAAGGGCAGCTGGGATCCTGTAAAGATGGAACCTGTTGGGTGAAACAAAGAGCCATGTAACGACCAACAAATATGCCATGAGTGCACGGTAAACCTGAGTGATGAATTAACAGAAGGGCGTGATATAAAATGATACATAATTCGAATTCCCTTTGACGTGGTAACGCCTGTGTTTTGTGGTCGGACGTAGGGTATTGTAAGGTATCCTTGTATGTATCTTATGGTTACCGTATGTTACAGCGAGATGTGGGGAAGTATTGGCAGTTCCTTCCTCATGGTCAGCAAAAGTTGGGTTGGACACTCAAAAATATCATGCTCTTATGTGGATGTAGAAAGCAATGAGGATACTATTATTGAAGAGGAATAGATACAGTTGTCGGTAATTGAGATAATGTCCTTCCTACTACATGTAACAGCAACGTGAGAAAGAGTGAAGAAGTTGGTCGCATGCCTCCGGCTGCTCCAATTTCGGTCGGGCCTCTCCTCACCCCGCAATGAGTGTATGTGCGACAGCGGGATCTCGCTATTTCCCGCTGTGAGGCTGAACCTTCCTCATCTACCTGCATCTCCGAAGGGTGTTTTGACAGTCGGATATGTCAGGTTCGTTCCTTTTCTTCCTTTAAGCGGTCGCCTTTTCCTCTTTCCATATATTAACTGAATGACCCTTCAGCCAACCCTTGGCCTTTCTATGCCCACCTTGCGATTTTCACACCGAATTCTCCTGGCCAGTTAAGTCGGTGACACGCCTATTCATCCTTTACATCCACCATCTACATTCAGACAGTTTTAATACGATTGCAAGCATTCCGCCTTGCGCGCAGTCATCTCTTTATTTGGTATCAGTCAAGCAATATTCGACAACGCGACGACGACGAGGAAGACGAAGTTACCAAGATGTCTGGTTCTGAAACCAACAGCCAGGGGCAGAATGGCAGTGTGTTTGGCTCAAATCCTAACCCTTCATCATTCGGACCTCCCACAACCAACAACGCAAGCCAGCCGAGCAACACAACGCCAACGCCAACGCCAAATGCCTCTGTGACGATGTCAAGTTTAGCAAAGGCCGGGGGGCAGCAAAATGCTCAACATAGTCAGTCTCTCTTCGGCCCGCCTGTGTCTTCTACGAGTACAGCCCCGTCTGCGAACGGCAGTGCCTTTGGACCCTCGCCTATACCGCCAACACCCGGTTCTACTGCGCGTGCCAGCGTATATGGGAATGGAACCTCTGCGACGACAGACCCAGCCGCCACTGGTAGCAGTTTGTTTGGGCCCGCGCCTGTTCAAGGAGGTCTCGGAACTGCCGCTGACACAACCAACTCTTCATCGACAGGAGATGGCTTGTTTGGCTCGACACCAACTGCTACAGATCCCACTTCCAATTGCAGTAGCTCGTCCGGGTCGAGGCTCGGGTCGAGGCTCGTGTCAACAACGGCACCTTCAAAAACAGCTGCGAATCTTTTTGGAATTCTAACCCCGGCAGGAACCGGTGCTTTGACCACAGATTTTAGCAGCAGCTCTGCTCTGAACCAATCGCAAGCAACCCTCCAAATGGCCGCTGCTTCCAATACATCGGATGCAACACTCACGAACGAAACAGAAGGTTCAGCCTTACCGGAACGCAGCGTGATCGACATTGTCACCGACGGTGATCTCTTGCTGGAAGTAGGGGGTGACGAAGAATCTGAGTCGTCCCAACCCCAGCGGTTCCGTGTCAGTTCCTCGGCGCTCAGCCGCCACTCGCCAGTCTGGAAGAATATGCTCTTTGGTCCATGGAGGGAATCAAAGCAGGTCAATGCCGAATCCGAACAGTGGATCGTAGAGCTACCCGGTGATCCTCTCAAACCAATGCAGATTGTCCTGGGTATCATACATAATCGGTTCAGCCATGTCCCTCCCTTTCTCAGTCTGGACGAGCTTTACAAGCTCCTCATTCTCACAAACAAGTACGATATGACTGATGTGTTGAAACTGTGGCGTGCACAATGGACATCTGTAGCTCATGGGGACTTATCTTCGGCGGACACACTGAAGTCCTTGTTCATTGCGTGGGAACTGGGAGATGCAAACCTTTTCATACTAAGGGTTGAGGAGATTTCCCTAAATGCCAACTTCGAGAACGAAACACTATTCGGTACGAGAAAGACATCGTTCAGAAAGTCTATCCTAGCAGGAGCCCCAGTGGCTGGAGATGCAGAATGGATCGATCTTGAGCATCAAGACTATCTGGGCCCACATGATATGGTTGGTACGTTCAACGTTTATGTACCACACCGAAATTACTCTCGGTTGGCCCAAATGCTGATATTTCACAGATATAATCGGTGCAGTTCGGAAGGAAGCGCTTTTGATGATTATGACGCCCCTTACCGAGGACTATTCAACACGCCGATTTTCGAGCTTTCGAACGGCTTGTTCTGGCCGTCCCCAATCCGATGCGCCCAGTGTATTCGGAAGAGGGTCTCCGGCCCTTTGCGATGCAGCCATCCTGGGCGGTCTCATGATTCACATAGACAACAGGTTCACGAACACGACCATGCTCCCCTTCGTTACGGAAAGCGTTGTGCAGGTGGCATCCCGCGTGTTCCCAAAAATAGAAAAGATCGAGGTCTTGCCTGCACATCCGCTGTGCTCCTTGAACGAAAGGTATGCGACCCTCAGCGAGATGATTCAAAATGGTCTTTACGGTCTCGTAGCGAAGCACCTCAAGCCGTGGCACAAGAAGCATTTATATGACCAGAGGAAAAAGACAGGAATTGAGTTTTCCAGGGCAGGACAGAAGAAATATGAAAAACAAGCGAATAACCGCCGGTATTGGTGAGAGTCGGAAACATCTCTTGTTCATACCCTTCCCCTGTCTTGGACCTCATGATCGGGGGAATGGAGCGAACATGTTACGGTCAGAACGGTATACATCCAAGCGTTTTTGTTATTCCCTTAACTTAGACCGAAATAGATTTTCTAAATGCAAGGCTCCTGATGGACTCTACCCAGCGCGTTTTTTTTTCGGCCGTACAAAATTCCGCGACGGCCTCCTCTGGCCATAGCGAGGCATTCTGGACTGCCGATGTTCGGTTTATTTTTACGACCGCCTCTTCCGGACGACAGTTTGGCGTTGGTACCTTAGTGACGGTAGTGTGGGCAAGAGATATCTTGGTCCTCAAATATGGACCTCTACATTTCTTGGGACCACCAGCCACGGTTGATTTGGAAGTCTTAAAGAGTAGTACAATTTCTTCACCAGCAAAATGCATTAATGTTGGCTGTTGAATCGAATGTAGACGTACTAGAACACTACACTCGGCATATGGTAAGGATGGTGTTTTTGTGCCTCGCCTTTGATGCGTCCTCGTAGGTAGAAGTAGGTACAACCTTAGCCCGATAAACATTCCTGAAAATGCGTACCATCGCTTTCCAACATCCCAAGCCTAGGACATATAAGTTCCATCTGTAGGACGTATTTTGTGAATGATTAGCACAGCAACACTTGTAAATTGTGAAACCAAGGGTCAGGTTTTGTATCGAGCAGATACGAAAAGCAGGGAAAGAAAGACAAAGATAAAGAGGGAGGCCTTCAAAGTGCTGCTAGGAATCATCGTGTAATCCCGTTCAATTCCCTGAATCTTGGGTACCACCTCACCTGCCTGTGCACACAAGATCCGCAACGTGGTAGATTTGGAAATCAAGCGAACCACCAGCCAACTCCCACGCAAACCGACTGGATTACATCTCATGTTTTGTTAGATGCTTGAAAAAGCGTACAAGACGGATTTTGGTCAAGATCACCAAATGATTGATGACCGAGTGAAATCTCGACTTGACTGGACCCAAGTCGAGCCAATCTAATACACAAGGAGGCTTGCAGTCGTCCCCGACTTGCCAGCAAGAGCAAGGTAAGAGTCGCTCTTTCGCATCTGACATTTGCCATATCAAGCATTTGCGCTAAGTATCTTAGTGACTCTGATGACTTCCTTCCTTGCTCCAGCGTGATAATTTTACGCCTGAACTCGTATATTACACATGTGTACGGCTATGATTTCGTCCAACCAGTGTACATTACATGACCCTCTTTACACCCGTTACAATTTCCCCATCCTTTTGCGCAGCGGGAAGGCACAAGTTGGTCTGAGTCCCCGAGGTGATACTTCCGCTCTTTTTTCTCTTTTTTTTTTTCTCTTTTTTTTTTCTCTTTTTTTTTTCTCTTTTTTTTTTTCAAGACTGTCAAACCTCTAAGGGGAGGGCCAGGACCAGTAGCGACACGGAGACATTTTGTTGTCTCGCATGGCCAAACCAAACTTTGCTCTTTGAGCCGCCATGTATTCCCTGTGACTCGGCTTGATCAAGCCAGCCACCACGCTTGGAATGATAACCTGTTGAATTTTATAGCAGAGTGTCCGGTATTTGGGCACAAGAAAACACTCCCAACCTTCTGGATAGTTCCTTGGGCGTTCGTCAGCACCGTGGACAGTCGGAATCTTTGACATCATCGGAAACAGCCACGATGCTAGCTCCACGACGCTGTCCTCTACAGATCTGCTGAGAAGGCCACCTCTGGTTGTTTGAATATCCCGATACATCCTGCCCAAGTTGACGTCATCACAGAGCATTCTCTTGTCGGCATCAATGTCAAGAACTTTGCAGTATGGTGTTGCCTTGTTCATCCGCGCGTCCAGGTCTTTATGTACGGGTGAAATGAGCCTCTCAATCAGTTGCGTCCGGATCGCACGTTAAACTTCTACATAAGATGTTAGTCAAAAATGTCCTGCGAAACTGATCCATTGACCATCCAACTGTTGTCTCCTCAGACACAACGTACCTAGTGCATCATGTGGTCCTAGAATATCCTCATCGTTGAGACTGGCAGGCTCTTTATTATCGCTCGACACAGACGCTGCGACGTAACTTAAACGACCGTCTTTGCCCATTCTACTTTGTACGGCAAGATCCCTCAGTCTATGGGCGAAGAGCTTCTCGTCCCCCAACTCCCGTGCCACGTATAAGGACTTGACCATATCAGGCATCGAAAGCCTAATGCCGCTGGTCGTAGGCTTGCTAACAGCCATACCCCTAGCGACTCCTATCCATTGGGCACACCAAGGTCTCGCGATACCGGTCATGTCGTACTTGTTGGTGAGGACCAAGATGTCATAGAGGTCTCCAAGTCCAATCTTGTCCGGAACTATATCAAATCTCCCGTGGATCATGTAGAGAATGAATGACAGTGGGCGGGTAGGATCCGCTGGGAGTTGAACGATCCATTTCTCTCCGTTGTTGGATGACGGCTTCGATTCCGACCAGGGACCGAACAGCATGGCTTTCCATACGGGAGATTGACGACGAAGCGCGCCGGAACAGACGCGGAAGCGGTAAGGTCTATTATCAACTGGCTCAGTATCGAGGTAGAGATTGCCATCGGGGTCAACGACAATTGTCACTGTGGCCGGCTTGGAGTCCACGGGTGGTGACGGCTCAGCCTTGCTTGCATCGCTCGGTTGGTCGGCTGCGGAAGCCGCCACTGTGACAGGAGACATGATCGGAGATTGATTTGTTCCGACAGACGAAATTGCAGTTCCAGGGCCGCCAAAACATGAGGTAGGGGAAACAGACGGCGAACTGGTCGGGGTGTGGGAGGTCTTGCACCAGAGAGTGAGCGGTAGGTGCCCGTGCATACCTTTTGAAGCTGAAAGAAGTTGACTTGGGAAATTCTTGGTAAGTTTACAAGGTTATGGGAAGCAATTGAGACGGAGAATATGGTTAAATTCTCGTGTAGTGGGAGAGGTACTTTGTAATATCTTGTTGGGGTTTCGAGACATGCAGCCAAAATGCAGCGCCCCGAGCCCTTTCCGGGCAGCAATTATATCCTACGCACGGGACATTTTCTACGTCAAAAAAACGTGGCCAAGCAAGCCATTCCAAGCGGGAAGCACAATGCAAGGAAGCGGAATTTCACTGTACAGATACACGAGCAACTTGGCTGTAAGTGTGTTGCCAGCTTCGGAGAAACAACCGGCGTGTTAAAGAATGACAACTTCTCGACTCGTGGTTAGCTCACCAACGGTGCTTAATGGCAAGGGACATCAGAGGTCAAGGAGAGCTCCACGCGGAGAATCCAGAACGTTATGCAGAAGTTACATTGACACTTGTTGTCAAATCCCCGAGCAATAACATCACGAAAATGCATGAACTTGGTGGGAAATGTTGGATTTGGTATTAATGGGCGTTTACTTGAAGAAGTGCGCGACGAAACTTGTGTGGAGACTGGTCCTCAGAGGATACAAATGCAATACACAATACTAGAAGTTCCAGGACTAGTTAATCGGGCTGCCGAGAGGAGTAAATGTAGTAGTCGTGGGAGCAGCGCCGAATAGAGGCAGAGACGCGGTACCCGAGCTAGTTGTAGTAGCCGCGGTAGGCACAGCTGTGCGAGTGGGAATAGATGCGCCAAACAGCGACGATGATAGAGCTGGTGTAGATTTTCTGTCGTAGAAGGTTCTGCTGAAAGGAGGCTGTTGAAGTTCCCAGTAGATCGAAATAGCTGTATCCGGCCCCTGTTTGGCAAGACCGGTCTTTACTCTGGCTTTTTCCAGATAGCTGCGGTGAGAGGGTGTAATATGACTTGAGGCCACCGTAGGAATGCTGGCATGAACCTTACTACTCAGATCGACGTACTTCTGCGTGATCGAGCACGTGTCGCGATGCCGTGGAATAGTCTCGATGTTGGCCATGCACTGAAACAACCATCTCGCAAGCCCCACAACGCTGTCATAGATCATGGTGTCTATGTTGGGGAGCAAGCTGCCTCTCCCTTTTAGCATTCCTGAATGTATACCTCCCAAAATGGCGGCATCACAAAGTCGAGATGAGCCTGCATCGAGATTCATAAATTGGCTAGTCTTGAAGCTACAAACGGGTGTAGCTTTCAGGCGTGCCCCGAGATCCTCATTTACAGGGCGGATGATATCCTCTATCAGATCTTTACGAATCTGAGTGATTGTCTCTGTGTAAACGTTGAAGGGTTAGAGGCGAATCATGTGGGTAAGTTGATGGACTGGTGGATAGCTGCGAGACGACTGACCTATTATATCTTCGGGGCCGATGTGGTCCACATCTTCGAGAACAACCGGTGTTGATTTCGATGGAGAGAGATTGCCTGATTGTTTCATCAAAACTATGCGGGACTTTGCATCAATAGAACTGTAAACGGCAATCTCTTGGAGCCGTCGGGCAAAAAGGTTCTCATCTCCAAGTTGCCATGCGACATAGAAGGACATGATTGTATCTTCCGCATTTGCCATGGACCCTTGTGCGATGGATACCCAATTTTGGCTCCAAGGCTTGATAACATTGACCATCTCGTATTTGTTGGCGACCACCAGCAGATTGTGAAGTTGGCGGAGAGAGAGAAAGAGCGGGGGAACCATATCGAAATTTCCGTGAATGATATGAAGGAGCAGCTGCATTGCATGAAGACAATTATCGAACAGCTCGACAATCCAGTCCTTGTCGCTGCTGGTCGGCTTTCTTTCCTTCCAAGGCCCAAACAACATCTGCTTCCATACTGGCGAACGGCGCCGAAGTGCAGCGGAGCAGACCCGGAATGTCCAGACCTCCGAATCGTCATCCGCAGTCGCCTTCAAGTAAAGGTCGCCATCCGGATCAATGGTGACGGCCTTGAACTCTGGCGCGGGCGCGGGCGTCTCTGGAGTCTGGGCTGAGTCCATGCTCGAGATTGACGGGACGTCCTCAGGTAAGGTGTGCGTTGTAAAAGCGTCTGGAAAAGGGAAGGAATAACAAAAACCAAGGAAATAGAAGACCGAACGAGCTTCAAGAAATTCGCGGGTTCATTGAGAGATACACATTGACGATGAATAAAGTTCGGGCTGTTGGCACTTTAAATACAGAAAATACACCATGTGCAAGACACACCATTGTTGTGCGATGTGGGGCGTACTTCTCCAGTTACAAACAACACGTCATCCTTTGCACTCAGTCCCGTGAAGGAATCAATTGGGCCTCTTGCAGAGCAAAAGATGGCGCCCACCAGTCAACAGCGGCTCCTCCAGGCCAAATTAGCGCGTACACCAGAGCTCGATGTCAAGGGCAAATCGATAAGACACCAAAGAGTCCATCAGGCTATGAACGGCTATTGGAGTCTATAAATAGTCTTGAGAGACGAAAGAAGTGAGTAGAAGTAACGACAGGAATGAGAATACGTCTTGGGGTTTCCTAGATGAGAGCGGGGTTACCACTGTCCCTACAATTATAGTGCCTCCTGTTCCCGTCCCGAAAGGCGAACCACATTACCACCGCACAACAGCGGTAAAAACAACAACAAGAACAATGGAAGGCGCAACAACGAAGTGGGTGATAATCAGCTCATTGGAAAGGTTAAGAATGGAAAAGGCAATGCCCCGCCCAGTTCACCTTGAATGAATGGGTTAAACCTGCTCACATGCGAGCTCGGCGGACTCGAACTACGTCTGTATTGACAATACAATACGTGATACGAAACCGACGGGAGTGAATGGAACATAATGTCCACTGCCTCCGCATTTTCTAACACTGTGTGAATGTACGGGCGTGGCAAAGCTTTCTACCCGCCATTCACTCAAGTGATTTCCTTTCAAAATTCCCACATGAAACGTTGTACCTATTTTAATCTTTGCCTTGAGCAATTACAACTACTTGGTGATCCCTGTTGGTGAGCCCTACAACAGTTAGGCGACTCGAGCATAATCCTGATCACGGCAACTCCAGCCGCAACCGTCGATGGCCTGCTAACAGCTACCTGCTCCCTCACCAACAACGAGCCGCAAGACGATGCGAGCCGTGGCTACGGCGGAATTACACGACAGATGGTTCTGCTACAACAGCATTGGACGCCACACCACCGACGCGCACAATCATGGGTGCTACGAGTGACCCAAGTGGCCTACCATATACGGTCGTTGACATAGATCCAGATTGTGACAAGGGCAGTATTCTG